CATTTTCTCAATTGGGGTTCCCTCCTCTCAGATGACTATTGCCTGTGTCAACTTGACATAAAATTAGCCAACAGCAATAAAGTACAACTATTTATACAGCATTCCCAATACGTTCAGTATTATATGAAATCTAGAGGTGATTTAAAGTATGGGAGACAAGATGCTTCGGTTTTATGGAAGTGCTGTGCCATTTGGATAAGGAGCGTGGGCGTCTGAGGATTTCAGAAGCCATGGAGGTGGTAGGTAGGCTGGAAGTCTGAGAACAAATCCTCAGAAGATGCCAAATAAATCTGCATTTTTTTTTAGTTAAATCTCAATGCAATTTTGAAGCAAGAATATTAATTATATATTTCAGATATCAGGTATACTAAGTAAGAAATGATACACCATGCTCAGTATTCTAGGAAATTAATTACCTGAGAGAATTCCTGGAGGATTGTAGATATTACAAGGCTGCATTTTAATATACATCTGCTGTTTCTCCTGCTAGTACTTCTTAGATCACAAGGAACATCAAATATCAAATGCCAGGGCAGGACAAATATAGCCAGAAAACAAATGTAGGACTAGAATTTGGGTCTAAGCATGGGTTTGGGTCGAATCAGAATGGTAATGCCTTACAGTGACCTTAACCTATATCTCAGATCCAGGGATCCTGGGGGTGAGGGACTGCCTCATGGGTACTGAAAAAGCAAAGGAGATAGAGATAAAGACAATGTCAAGAATCAGCTAAAGTTCAAGGTGAGGAAGAGATGAACGAAGGGAAACACAGGAAGACCCACTTCCAGTGCCCATCTTCACTCTCTAACAAAATTAAGACTATGTGAGCTACGCTGGCAGGTTTTGGAAGGCCCTTAAAGCCAATAGTGTTCCATTTCTATTCAATATCATGACCAAAAGTAAAGAGGTAATTCCTGATGCCAATTTATTTATTTTGACTTCAGATTTGAGTTAGAAAAAAAATGGAAAGGGGTCATGATGTGATCTGATATTCATAGGTAGGTCTTAATGCACTGGAAGCTGAGGAACTCAAGCTTATGATGGTAGCTATGAATTTAAATGTGTGGGTCATGGTAGCAGCAGCAGACATGGCTTTATGAAAAAACATCCTTGGTTGGTTACTTTCATGTTTCTCTGACTGGAAATCTGACATAATAAGTAAATATTGCAAATTTTAGTTATGTTAACCCCGATATTTCAGCCCAGAATATTTGGTTCTACTGACTCGGGGACTACAGTGAAGCAAAACATCATGATAGCAGGGGTATGTGCAAGAAGAGGCTGTTCATCTCAAAGTGGACAGGAAGCGGGGAAACCGAGACGGAATCAAGAGGCAAGAATACCCTTCAAAAGCAAGCATGACCTGCTTTCTCTAGCTAAGCCCCATCTCTGAAAGTCTGAACAGCTCCCAACATGGCACCACCAACAGAGGACCAAGCAGTTAACACATTTCAGATTCAAACCACATCACAATTGAGTAGGTAATACTTGCTCAATCAAAACAATTAGAAGATCCTCATTGATAAGTGTCCACTTTTCAGTTGACCTATGCAGACCTTGTCTGCTGGCCCTGGGATCTGACAACCTGAAAGATTGGGGCGGGCTGCAGTCTACTGCTGTAGACAACTTTACTTCAGTTTCAGTGGCTTTTTATACACAAATGTAACCAAGAAAGCAGCGGCCCAGGGAAGGATGTTTGAGTTCAGAAAGGCATGACCATAAAATCGTGATCAGAAAAACATGTAAATAAAAGTCAGTCAGCACATACTAAATATTAACAGAGCCGCCCTTTCCCAGAACTTTCTCAGGACAGACCAATTTCAATACAATTTCCTGGCACGTACTATAGATTGTATCTGGGAAAGCATGAAGGCAAGGCAGAAGCCATGTCCAGATTCAGGGGACACTGACCAGATCGGGTTCTGTAACTATGTGCTGACATCCAACAAGAATGAACCTGTCTTATAAGTTAAGTGTAAATGTTTGTCACAGGAGGCATGAGATCACATCCAAGAACAATCCAGGGAACAAAATGCATCCGAGGTAAAAGGCCCTCCACCTTTTTTCCTGCAGCCTCTCTCCCAGTTCCCCAAGGCATTGTCACCATGCGTCATCCTTCTTCTGACTGTGTTCCAATTCTTCTGACTGTGTTCTGACAGACAAGCTACAAAAAAAACCATTGAAGAATCTCAAGATTGATTTAGACATTGTTTTCTTGATGGTGGTTAGCCTATCCTTCTTTACTTTGTAGCCAATCCCAAAATGTTACTAGGTATTTATGTTGTTTCATTATAAAGTATCGATACAAAAGACTAAGTCTCCATCAAGACGACCTTCCTAAGATAGGATCCATTAACATCAACCAAGGAGCTGAGAGAATTCACCTAAATATTTAAGTTAGAAACCAAATCATTGTAACTTGGTGTTACAATGGGAGTGTATTGGGATGTGTGGAGTTCATTGGTGCTTTGTATCTGGTCTATAAAATGCTGGCATTTACTACAACCCAAATTTCCCACATTATCCAAAGCAATGCCATCCAAAGAAATATGTAATGTGAACCACATATGTACTTCTAAATTTTCTAGAGCCATAATGGAGTAAGTGAAAAGAAACAGACAAACTTAATATTAATTTAACTCATATGAACTAACTTAAAAGTGAGAGAAGGAGGGGGAATGAGGAAGCCACAGAATGCTATGCTGGTGATATAGACCATAGGACTGTGGTGGGGCAGAGGGTCACCTAGGCTGTGGTTTTGCTGAGGTCCACTTCTGATGTTGAGTTTACGACTCTGTACACACCCAGTGGAGCCAGGTGTGATCCTTCATTGCTTTGGTCTTTCTTCTCCATGCTCACGGGAGACTCATCGGAGGGCAGCTCACCTGCTCGCCTGGCCAGCTTCATGACTGATCCTGACACCCAGGGTCTACCCCACACAATGTCACAGACAACAACCTCAGGAATATGTACAGGATCTTTCCATCCCAAAATGCATCCTCTACTGTCCATGTTGATGCCAGAAGTCCACAGGGTGCCTTTGGGGGTGGGGGGTGGAGAGGACAATGTTTCCCAAACTTCAACCCATTATTTCTGCCATTGGTTTTGCCCTATCTATACATTACCTATACCTTTTCTTCAATTAAGTCCCCCCTTTTTAATATAAAAACACATACAAAAGAAACTGTATATCACTACTAGACACTGGCATTTTCCATAAGTAAAAGTCTGTTTAAAAATAACCTCACTATTAAATTTTAAATGGCACACATGTATCACCTCATTTTGCCTGCATTTAGTGGTCCAATTAACACTAAGTCAGAGATACTGGGTCAAGGGACTGTCCCTCTAAAAGTGACTGCTAAAGCATGACCATAAGAGGGAAGATACAGGACACTCACGGATTGTTAGCTCTGAGCATCACTTGAACAGGGAATAGCACCTAGATAAGGGTTCTCATCCTCAATGTGTAGAAGAAACACAAATCACCTAAGAAGCAATTTTAAAATCCAGGTCTCTGGTCTCACACAAGATTGAATAGAGTAAGGCTGGACCTCAGTGTCTGTATTTCCTTCAGACTCTTCAGACAATTTGATAAGGAGTCAGCAAAGCAAACTTCAAGACACTCTGGGAGGTCTAGCAAGATGGCTGTCTTTGTTAGGGTTTCTATTGCTGCGATGAAACACCATGACCAAAAAGCAAGTTGGGGAGGAAAGGGTTTATTTGGCTTACACTTCAGCATTGCTGTTCATCCCTGAAGGAAGTCAGGACAGGAACTCAAACAGGGCAGGAACCTGGAGGCAGGAGCTGATGCAGAGGCCACGGAGGGGAGCTGCTTACTGGCCTGCTTCCCCTGGCTTGCTCAGCCTGCTTTCTTATAGAACCCGGGACCACCAGCCCAGGGATGGTATCACCCACAAGGGCCTGGGCCTTCCCCCATTGATCACTAATTGAGAAAACACCTTACAGCTAGATCTCATGGAGGCATTTCCTCAACTGAGGCTCCTTCCTCTCTGATGACTCTAGCTTGTGCCAAGTTGACACAAAACCAGCCAGTCAGTACAATGGCTTATGAGTAAAGGTGCCTCCCACCAAGCATGAAAACCTGAGCTTGATCCCTGGGATCAGCATGGTAGAAGGAGAGAATCGACTCCTGCAAGTTGTCCTCTCACCTCCATGTGCACACCATACATACATACATACATACATACATACATACATACATACATACGTATGTATAAAAATGAAAGAAGCCTTGGGACAGAGTGACAGGCCAGTAGCAGTAGGAGACACAGAACACTATGCTCTGGAACCTAGTAGGAAGGAAAGGGGAGGGGAAAGGGCAGGGACCCAAGGAACAGTTAGTTCCATCAATGCCACTGTTCTGTGGAGTGCAGCTATCCAGATAAACACAGCCTAGCACAGCAAACTCCTCATTCTACGTAAATGCAGCAACAAAATCACTCCTCTGTGGATAATTGTAAACAAACCACTAAGCCCTAGACGGACTCTTCAGAGAGGGATGTTTTCCTCCTCCTTCAGAGAAGATAAACAGGTCATGCATTTTTACCTGTAGGGTCCTGACTTATTCAGCCAGGCAGCGATCCCAGCACTCGGGAGGCAGAGCCAGGTGGATTTCTGTGAGTTCCAGGCCAGCCTGGTCTACAGAACAAGATCCAGGACAGGCTCCAAAGCTACACAGAGAAACCCTGTCTCAAAAACAAACAAAAATTTCCACTTATTCATGGAAAATCTATGAAGAAAGATAAGAGCAAGGTATAAAAAGGAGGGAGAACCGCCGGGCGGTGGTGGCGCACGCCTTTAATCCCAGCACTCAGGAAGCAGAGGCAGGCGGATCTCTGTGAGTTCGAGGCCAGCCTGGACTACAGAGTGAGTTCCAGGAAAGGCGCAAAGCTACACAGAGAAACCCTGTCTCGAAAAACCAAAAAAAAAAAAAAAAAAAAAAAAAAAAAAAGAGGGAGAATAGTTATAAATTGTTTTCCAGTAAAATGGAGTGAATCAGGACAGGCCTCATAGGAAATAAGATCATCTCTAGCCAAAATCCTCCTGTACAGTCTTTTCTGTCCATAGAACAAGCCAGAGGCAGACCTCAGCCAGGGGCCTTTCTAGAATTTAAGATGTTTTCTGGTTCTCTCTTCTCTCACAATAAATACTGTAGAAGGCCGTGCAGTTGGTTTCTAAAAAACCTACCCTTCAATGACCCATGCCTCCACGTAATTTTTGCCTGTGTTATTCAACTTTCTGTTACTATAACAAAGACCTGACAGCTGGCAGGATGGCTCAGTGGGTGAAGTACTCACTGCATAAGCCTCACGGTCTAAGTCCGCTCCCCAGAACCCACATGAAGGTAGAAAGAGAAAAGTGGCTACATAAAATAGTCCTCTGACCTCCACATGCTCACCATCACACACACACACACACACACACACACACACACACACACACACACACACCACCCCACATACACAAAATAACAAATTTTTAAACCTTGAGAAACCAACCCATAAACAGGAAAGGTTTAAATGACTCACTGTTTTTTAAGCTTCCGGATTGTTTTGGGCCTGTGATGGTACATCACGGCAGAAATGGATGGAGGAGCAAAATTGCTCACCTCATGGCCAAGAGACAAAAGGGAAAGCAAGCAAAGGTTGGGGTGCCTCAGTCTCCTTCACAGTTGTGCCCTGAGAGACCCAAAGTCCTCCCAGTAGGCTCTAGTATCTCAGCTCTCTACCACTTCCTAATTGTGTCTCAAGCAAGCATTTTTTTTTTTTTCCAAGACAAGATTTCTCTGTGTAATGGCCCTGGCTGTCCTGGAACTCTCTCTGTAACCCAGGCTGGCCTCGAACTCACAGAGATCCGCCTGCTTCTGCCTCCCAAGTGTTGGGATTAAAGGTGTGTGTGCCATCATACCGGCTTACACAAGCAAGCTTTTGCCCATGGACCTTTGGGAAATACTTAAGATACATGCTATAGCAGTGACCTTGTGGAATCCCCTCCATTGTGCCAATGGCTGAAGCCACTGGCCTGCTTCTAGCTCACAGAACACAACAAAAGTGAAGGGTTACATCAAGTTCTAACACTGTGGCCAAGACCTTGCTCACCAAGCTCTCCCTTGTCTGCTCTTTCTGCTTGCTCACTCTGACAAACCCAGCTCCGGTGTCCTCCGGCGTGCCACAGAGAAGCTCGTGCAACAGGGGAGCCAGGGAAACATTTTACTTGCTCTGTAGTGTACTAAACTCCTTCAGAGCTTGAAGTTCAACCAACAGAAACGTGTTCTCTCAGTCCTGGGGGCCAGTAAGTCAGGAGCCATCTCTCTGGGTCAAGACCAAGATACTGACAAGGGTGAGACGGAGGCTCTAGCATACCCTTGCTCTTCAGCCTCGGAGTGGCCGTCCACACCCTGTCACTCCCGGCTCCGTCACTCCGGTCTCTCCTTGTAGACACATCGCCTCCCTTCTGTGTCTAGTCGCCGTCTGCATCCCACCTGAAGCCAATTCTGGCAGACAAGAGCCCTCTCCGATGGTTGGAAGTACTCACCTCATCTGGAAAACACCAGCACTGGGTTTAGGATGAAACACGCTTCCCTGGTATTCATAAAAGCGTGGGTTCAACCTCTAGTCGAACAATAATCATCATCATCACCCTCATCTCGTCAAAAAAAAAAAAAAATCCTTCATGATAACATTGTGGTACATGTATTTTATCATAGTAAGAAAACTTTTTTTTAAAACACCACCATTTAAGATAACCATTCCCACAGTCCAGAGATTAGGATCTGCTGTCTTTGGGAGTCACTATCAGGGGGGCTGCTATGACTTCTGGCCAACAACTAGGAAGGAACTAAGGCTGTCCAGCACCACTGAGGAACAGAGCCTGCCCAAGTCCACAAGAGAGGGCTGGGAAGCAGACCCTTCCCAGTCCAGCCTTGAGATGACTGCATCCAGCAGCATCCCCAGCCTCAGCACCGCAGCATGATGCTAAGCAATACTGAGCTTCTCGACCCAGAAAAAAACTAAACTATGTCTTACTTTTAAGCAATTAAGTATTGGGAAAGTTTATTATGCAGCAACAGATAAGTAAGAATTGTTTTGCTCAAGGCTCATACAAAGCTAATTCACTATGTTCTGTGCACATGTTTTTAGCATGACAAGCTAAAATTACTTAACTATTAGATACAACCTGCTGTGACAAGAACACACATGTGCTACAGAATTAGACAAAGTCCACTGAGCCAGAGTGAGGTGTTCACTTCTCGGAGCTTTGTTTCTATTTATGTTAGGTGGAGAAAATAATACTTTGCCAAGTTTATTGTTGATGACATTTAATAAAAAGACACATGACTTAAAATACCTTCTCAAGATTTGCTATGTATTCAGGGTTCAATAGGTCGTAGCCCATGTCAGGCATGGTCCAGCTGTCTGTCATCCCAGCTCTGGGGAAATAGAAGCAGGAAGATCAGGAGCCCGAGGAATCATTCTGTCTGAAAACCAAACCAACAATAATTCCAGACTGAGCATGGTGGACACACTTATAATCCTTGTGCTCAGAAGGCTGAGGCAGGAAGATTTCAAGTTCAAGGCCAGCCCAGGCTGTCTCATAAAAACAAAAGCAGAGAAGAGGATGAGGAAGAAGGAAGAGAAGGAAGAAGGCCTACATAGTTTGTAGGGAGCATAAGAAAATACACATTTTAAAATAAAATATCATGGGATGTATTTTAGATTTATCAGCTTAAGAGTTTTTAGAGAGATTGTGCCAAGCCTGGTGGCACAAACCTGTAATCCCAGCATTTAGAACACAGAGGTAGGAGAGTCACTCACTGTACGTTGGAGATTAGCCTAGTTTTAACAGCTCAAAGCCAGTCAGTGTTACACAGAAAGGCCCTGTCTTACAATAACACACACACACACACACACACACACACACACACACACACAAGTTTTGATGAAATTATGATTTCCTCAAGTCAGCTACTTTGTGTTATTTTGAAATGTTAAAAATATCTAACTCCTGCAATGGACATCATGTCCGTGGGCTATGCCAACACACAGTGGGCACCTTTTATGTCCTGGTTGGTTTTTTTTTTTTTTTTTTTTTAACTCAACACAAGCTAGAGGTATCTGAAAAAAGAGAAACACAATTGAGAAAATGCCTCCATAAGATTGGCCTGTAGGCAAGTCTGTAGGGCATTTTCTTAATTAATGATTGATGCGGTGGGCCCAGCCCACTGCGGGTGGTGTCATCCCTTTGCAGGTGGTTCTGAGTTGTGTAAGAAGGGCTGAACAAGCCACAAGGAGCAAACCAGTAAGCAGCATTCCTCTGCGGTTTCCGCTTCTGTTCCCGCCCTGGCTTCCCTCAGTGATACACTGTAACAATGATGTGTAAGCCAAAAAAAAAAAAAAAAAAAAAAAAAAACCCTCCCCAAGTTGCTTTGGGTCATGGTCTTTATCGCAGCAACAGAAAGCAAACCAGGGCTTTTGGTATGCAATCCTGTAATTAAAGGCATCGAGTCAGCAAAACAAAGGAATGAAGAAATCAAAAGCAAATTGGTTTAGCCAGAGCCAGTGAAACACTTATTGATGGTGAGAGGTGATATAAGCACTTCATCTTAATGAGAGCAGAGGAATAAAGGACCTTGAGACCAAGAAGGAGCCTGGAAAACAGCTCAAAGATTAATGGCAGGTCCTTTGTTTGTGACAGGACAGAGAGGCCAGGTCATGAGGCAGTCAGGAGAGACAGTTTCAGAAACACTTTGTGGGTCATGAGGCTGAAGGTTAATAGTGAGGATATTGAACGAGGGAGGAAGCTAGAGAAATAAAAAAGGATCTCTCTCCTCTCTCTCTCTCCCTCCCTCTCTCCTTTTCTCCCTGCCTCTCTGCCTCCCTCCCCCACTCTCTCCCTCTCCTTTAGAGCTGCAGGCTCATCCCTACACTTGATAAGCACTGATGGTCTCACCTCACCCCAAAGAATCTTATTGGATCACCCAGATGACGTGCTGGCCTCAGAGATGCACTGCCCACAGCCAGAAACCATCTGGCTTCACCGTCTTTGCTACCAGTGTGTTGCTCCTCATTTAGTAGGAGAACCACTGCTTACTGTTGGAAAGAACAAGGATGTGTAAGAGCTTTCTAAGGGACTCTGCAGAGTCTGGTAGCACAATTCAGTTTCTCTCTAACGGTGTTGGTAAGCGGGAACGCAGAGATGAAACACTGGTGACCAGATGGAGCCCTTCAAGGCATACCCAAAGTCCACACTGTCGCAAACATTGCCTAGAATGCATGAAGACTTAAGTTTTCTTTTCAAAGAAGAGAATAGAAACCAAATTATTCCTTTCCCAAGGTGTTATGTATTTGCTGGCTTTTTATTCGAAGATTTCCTGTTATCGTCAAGTTTTCAGACCCTGGGCTCTTCCGTAAGCCTAAAAAGGATTGCTGTGGCCTTCATTTGTGTGTATAGAGGCCGTTGTTTTCATTCCTTTTGACCTTGACCTCTGCCAGCCTGCCCCTCCCTCCCAGCCAGCCAGCAGGCAGCCCATCCAGAAGCCCTTGCAAGCGGCAGTTACCTGGCAACAGTGACATCCGCATTAACAGGAGGAGGCAGCAGTGGAAAGCGACTGCCTCTTCCTGAATGTAAGTGGGGAGAGGAAGGGCTGACAATGCTTCTTTTTATCAATGGCTTTTCATCCGCGCACGCACACACACACACTCCCTCTCCAAGTCCAACCCTCAGTGTCTAAGACTGGCTAGTAAAAATAACCTCCAATTGGAGGGTTAATAACAGCCCCCAAAGATTCACGTGGAATCAAATATTTGGAGAGAATCTCCATCATTCTTCCCCTGATTCAGATGTAGAAGGTTCGAGAGTCTGTTGGGGTTTTCTTGGGTTTTTGGTGGGGTTGTTTGTTTGTTTGTTTGTTTGTTTGTTTGTTTAGACAACATGTCTCAGGCAACCCAGGCCAGCATTGCAATGTAACAACCAAAGGGAACTTGAACTCCTGGATCTCCCTGCCTCTGTCACCAAATGTCTAGGATTACAGACGTGTGCCACCATGCCCGGCTAAACAGATTAGGAGAAGGGCATTTTGTTTGGTTTTATGCAGTGCTAGGGATCGAACTCACGGCACTTTGCATATCTAAGTGCTCTACACTTGAGCTACATTCCCAGACTCTGCCCTCAAGAGACGTTTAACCCTTTTTCCATCTTTCTGTGTGTTCTGATCCCATCCAGTAACGCATTTTGACTACCCAACTATCCTACGGTAATAGAATCCTAAGTGCTGTGTACCGAGAATTGCTTGCCTCAGAGCTTGCCTCCCTAACCACAGATGGACAGGACAGCAGGTACTACAACAGAGTGATGACCAATAGTCTAGCTCTGCAATGAGCACTCTACAGACATGTTTAACTTTCAAAATTGCCCTATGAAGTTGGTAAGAGCATTATCTCCATTGTTCAGATGAAGAAAACTGAGGTTTAGAATGAATGATAATAGTTATGTATCGATTAAGAATGGGGCCAGGATTTGAACTCATGCTTTTAACTGCTTTTGTACGTTGCAAACGGTAAAAGATGGTGTGGTTAGCTAAGAGGGAAGCTGGATGATAAGGTAAAGATAGAAATCACCAAACTCAAGAATGAAAGCATAGGGGCTGGAGAGATGGCTCAGTGGTTAAGAGCATTGGCTTCCCTCCCAGAGGACCCAGGTTCAATTCCCAGCACCCACATGATAGCTCAGACCTATCTGTAACTCATTTCCAGGGAATCTGACACCCTCACACCAATACACACAAAACAAAGTGAAATAAATTTAAAAAAAAAAAAAAAAAGGATTGTAGCTAGAATTTTCCTGCCTGGCTCACAGTCAGGACAAATCTCTCTCACCTGCCAGTCCCACAGCCACTCAAACCTGACCAAGTAAACACAGAGACTTATATTGGTTACAAACTATATGGCTGTGGCAGGCTTCTTGCTAACTGTTCTTACAGCTTAAATTAATACATTTTCATTAATCTATACCTTGCCACATGGCTCGTGGCTTACCGGCATCTTCACATGCTGTTTGTCATCGTGGCGGCTGGCAGTGTCTCTCTCTCAGCCTTCCACTTCCCAGCTTTATTTTCCTCCTTGTCCCACCTATACTTCCTGCCTGGCCACTGGCCAATCGATGATTTATTTATTGACCAATCAACAACACACTTGACATACAGACCATCCCACAACAAAGAATGAGAGAATAAATACCAATTCTACTAATGTCATCTAATTAATATTCAAAGATGGGGCTGTATACTAAGATAGCCTCTATGATTTCCTTTAGCACAGACTTGAAAAATTATTTAAATACCACAGGTCTTAGGAAACATTAATGATCACCTGCTATGACGGTGACCCCTAATGAGTCTATCATCCTGTTATTCAGTAATCAAAAGAGAGAAACAATGTGATTATGAATTACATGACTTGGAATAATGACCAGAGTGAAGTCTAAACTTGGCCATGCATTCACTGGTGATCTGGGAGAAGTTAACTAGATGAACGTATTTTGAGCCTCTATCTTACACAAAGTCCCAACTTAAGATTTAAAGAAATAAGATTATGGGGCTGGAAAGATAGCTCAGAGGTTAAGAGCACTGGCTGCTCTTCAAGAGGTCCTGAGTTCAATTCCCAGCAACCACATGGTGGCTCACAGCCATCTGTAATGAGAGCTGGTACCCTCTTCTGATATGCAGGCATACATGCAGACAGAACACTATATACATAATAAATAAATCTTAAAAAGAAAGAAAGAAACAAAGAAAGATTACTAAACTTGGGCCATGTCTGGATGTAGGTCGAAAGCAAGGGAAATTGCAAGTTCTTTTCTGTGTGTTTCTTCTCCATAGACTAGAAGATTAACAGCAACTTCTTGCACTTGCTGAGGACATCAACAAGATACCAGCTGTTAAAAACAGTTAAATCAACTGTTATATAGAGTTAATGGGTGATAATTGCAAAGACAGAACCCTTCAGATAGCTCGTAGATATTACTGTGGTGATTATCTAGGTGTCATGACCTCTACCAACCTCTTCATCTCCCATTAGCTCTTGGTCACTTTTCTTGGCTAAGCAATCTAAGTGTTCCTATCCCAGGGCCCTTTGCAGTAATTCAAATATACTTACCTCCATTATTATCTACATTTCATTCAGATCTTTATTTAAAGGTTATAAAGGAGTGTTCGAGATGATGGATATGTCAGTTACCTTAATCTGATTATTAGACCTTGAATATGTATGGTCTTGAACTATCTAATATCCAGGCTGAGAAACAGAGAAATAGCCTCACAAAAACAGCAAAGATAATTTACTCATGGTGTGCTTTTGTTTGTTTGTGGATTTTGACAGGAGTCTTTTGCTCTGTCAACAGAGAAAAGGGAGAATTAACAGAATAAATAAATGCATAAAATGAAATCCCTGAAGGACTTATTTACTTACTTAAGAGAGTCAACTGTTTTCAGATACTCCAAATTAAACATTGCTTACTTCTAATCTAAATGTGGACCAGGGAGCCTAGAACTCTGCCATGCTGTTTACAAGTCATCCTCTATTTACTGAAACAAGATCTTGATCAGACAACTCTGGTAGACACAAATCCATGCACTGGTAGTCTCGAAAGTGATTTAAAAAAAAAAATCTTTTATTATTTTCAAGCATTTCATAATTGACTCCACCAACCAAATTGGCTTTTGCCTTCAATTATTTGAAATTCATGAGATGTTTGTGCATAGATAGGTTCTGCTAAAAAAAAAAAAATTAAAAAAATTTTTAAAAAGCTACTAAGTTATCTGCCATGTTTAATAGATACCCATGTGTAAGTTAGAGCACAGGCTAAGTGCTTTGAAAAGGAATGGTGTAGCTATAAGTTTTCTCATGTCCGCCTGGCCCCGCGATCCCACAACTGCTTATAAAATAATCACTCAGGGGCTTAATATTATTTACAAACCGTATGGCCTATAGCAGACCTCTTGCCAGCTAGCTCTTATGTCTTAAATTAACCCATTTCTATTCATCTTTGTTTTGGCACATGGCCGTGGCTTTACGTCCTGGCATGTTACTCCTTGGGCGGCAGGCTGGCATCTCTCTGTCTCTGCCTTTCTTCTTCCTGTCTCTCTCTCTTGGGTTTCCTGCCTGGCTCTACCCTGACTCGCCATAGGCCAGAGCAGCTTCTTTATTAACCAACCATAGCAACACATATTCCCAGCGTACAGAAAGACATCCCACAGCAGAAGGGAACCTCTGCTCACGAGGTATATCTGGTCTCCAGCGCTGGGAGAGCGGCAGAGCAGAGCTTCCCCGGCCTGATTGTACCTGTGTGTTGCAGACGCTTCCATTACCAACGCAGCTTCCTCCATCCTCTCAACCAATGTGAAACTCGGTTATTATTCTCTATGACAAGCTCACATGTACATCCGCCCCCCTGCACTGACCTTGTAGCCCTGGTTCTAGTGTGGCCCAGTCCTCTAGTGTGGAAGAGGGGAAGGCTACCACTTCTTATACAGGGTAAGCAAGCTCCTCAAATGACTAAAATGGTTTTCTTGCCTAAAAATGCTTCCCTGGGCTGAACAACTCTCAAACCGTCTTACAGACCCTCCTCTCCTCCACACTACCACATTGCTGCCACACCCATTTTCACCTGTGGAATCATCTGCCAATGGACCGTTGTTCCCCAGGACAATTGTGCAATGTGCTCATTTAACTGTGAGCCTTCCCAACGCATTTCGGTGAAGGGAGGCGGGCTATCCGTGAATCCTGTTAATTGCTGAAATAAATGTAAACACAATGGACACGATCTTGTTGGGAACTAGAAATGAAATCTTCTCTAATTAGAGGTCTGTAGTTTGCTCATATTTGTGGTCAAGGACTGTTCGGAGCTAAAATGAACACCCCCATTCAAACAAAGGACAATTGGAACAAAGGAGCTACAGCTCCTATCTTTAGCGCATTCATTCAAACGAGGGTATCATGAATGGAACCAGGAGCACCACAGCAATTTGGGCAGCTGTAGAAACCAAAATAACAATACCAAGCTACTTTCCTCCAACTTGGCGCTTTCCCAAGAAGAAAAAGTAAATTTCAGCGTTCTTCCCATTGAAAGATCTCGCTGAGAGGACGCTCTGTGTTTCCAAGGCCCTTCCCGTGTGGTTCATTGGCGCTGGAACCGTAGTGGAAAATTCAGTCTGTTGTAATCAAAGTCTTTGTGCCCCTGAGGACTGTGGTCACACCGACTGTAGCTACTAGTTTGTGTCTAAACTAGGGGGTGTCTCTGGGCCAAGAGCAGAACAAGCAAGAAGCATCAAGCAGTTCCTTTCTAGCAGGAAAGGGAGCACAGAGAAGCAGTCACAGTCTGAGAGTTCATCCACACACCGCACATATCCCATTCCTACCATTTTCAATGTGTAGCTTTGAAGGAATTATATAACCAGGAGGCTCTGAGTGAGCTGGCACATATATGTCCTGGCGTATGTGGCGATCAGAGGACAGCTTGCAGGAAGGTTCTCTCTCACTATTATGTGGATCTTGGAGGCCTGAATCAAGTCCTCAAGCTTGGTAGCAGTTACTTTTACCCGCTGAGCCTCTTCTTGACTGCCCTGTAGTCACCCATTTGTTATTTGTCGATTATTACTAACTAAATTGGTGAATG